GCGCGGCCCCCCCCCCCCCCCCCCCCCCCCCGACCTCCAGCAGAAGTCGGTAGGAGCAGGCCAAAAACCTGCTTTTGTTTCTTGAGTCACCATTTGAGCAGAGGTTTCATTATTTTTTCCATCCTCCTCCAGCTCCTGTTGCGGTGTGTTAACGTTAAGGTGCAGATCACTGATGGCACCACGGAGTGGGGGTTGGACTGACCTGCTGCATGACCTTGGGGAAATCACTTATTTTCCCTCTGTCTTGGCTCCCTTCTCATTTCTTCTTCATATCAAGACAGGGATGGTCTCATAAATAATTATGTGCACAGTGTATATATGACAATGTACTTGCTGGAGTATATGACAAATCATGCATGAAAATTAATAACAGATTACAATTTTTCATTCCATTTACACTGCTGGGGATTGAAAGACACAAATTGCCATTAAAGCTAAATACTGAGAAAGCGGTGGCACAAAAATACAAAATGTATTCATTACCAATAATAATCATTATTACCATTGAAGATGGTATAGCTGAGCTAACCTTCAAACTTCATTTGGGCCACAGATCTAAGGCAGAAAGAAACTCACTCTTCTTTCTATATTTAACAGAAGAAATACACTATGTACTATCCTATCCTGTCTCTTGCCCTCCAAAGAACATATGAAACTTTTAAGAAGCAGTCAGAGACTCTTCCCTTTAGACAAAATTGATCCTTTCTAAACTAATTCATATTTGGTTGCTTTTGTTTCCTGGTATCAAGCAAATTCCATTATTCCACCAAAACCCTTTAGACATTAAAGAAAATGCTTTCAAAGCTTAAATCTGGGGGGAAACAAAAGAAGAAAAAGGTAATGGGGAAAAATCATTCTTAGTAAACACTAATAGTGCAAAGAATGATTGACTTGCAGTCATTAATGCTAAGACCAACTGACTTTCTGTAGAGTGATCGCCTTCAATACCAGTTGCAATGAATATACAGAACTATTTTTCCCTTGGTCTCAAACTGGTCCAGAAATCTGTGAACTAGCTTGCACTTCTTTAGTCCCTCTTACTACCTTCAACCTTTGCCCTCACTTGAGCTTTAAAATGTATTTTCCATAAACACTTGCAAAGCTTCAAGCAGAGAAGCTGCATCAATGGTTAGAAGACACATATACGAGCCTTGGGCTTGAGACAAAGTACATTGAAGTGAGTGGAATTTTCCACTGAAGCCAATTGATTGACATTCAGTCTTCTGCTAATTTGGGGAAGGAGCATTTCAATGTTCAGAGGAGGCTGGGATTCAAGTTCATCTTTGGAGAATCCAGTAGTAACATTCGCTACATTAACTAAGAATTAACAATCAAAACACAGACTCGGAGATCATGTCCTAATCTTTCCCAGCCATTATCTTGAATATCTGGTTGTACTGTGCCATCAAAGCACTTGGATCCATCTTTAGAAGACATTGCCATGTCTCATCCTTCCTAGGTCCCTAGTTGTTTCTAACAGATGTGTCACTCTGACCCATTTCTAGCTTCAAATCCTTAGCATCAAAAAGAGCAAAAAAATAAAGTTGCTTCATTTCTCCTTCAAACTGGGCTCTGCATAATGTGGAGAAGTGCCTGGAGCAGAGAGATGGCTACTGGCACAAGAGGTGCCTGCCTGGGAACCAGCTGGTGACCTTCCAGAAAACAGTGGCTTCCCTCAAACCACCTGCGTGCTGTTTTCCTTGCCCAGTCCCCAGGAGATGTTTCCATGCCTGGAGAAGAGCTCTGCTCTGCGGGAGCACGGTGGATGCTCTCCAAGCCTGGTTTTCACAAGGGTGAGAGCAGGAATGCTGCTCAATTCCTAAAGCTCTTGTGCATCCTCCTCGCCTGCCCTAAAAAGTGCCCAAACAAGTCCCAGCTGCTCCCTGGTATCTCTGATAGTCAAGAACATTTAAATCACAGGGAAGATGCTGCATCTGGCCTGTTGCTCCTGAACCAGACTGGTGCAGCAAATCCATCCAAGATGCTTCTTTCCAGTGGCCACAGCCTCAAGGTCCACTCTCCCTCTCCCATTGCTACCAAACGCTCGCCCGCTGTTTGCAACTCGCTTCTCTCCAACAGGTACAAGCCACTGTGTCCGCAGACCTCCTAGTGCAAGGTGAATACCCCACGTCCCGTGCCGTAATCTGCATCACACCCTGCTCTCTACCAGCTTTCACCACATGCCCTCACGCTCGAGGGTTCTTATGCCATTATGGATGGCCGGGATGCCAGAAGAAAATCCAGGGAGCAGTGAAAACAGTGTGTGCTCATCAGTATTATTTCAGATTAGTTTCTGACATGGTAGGAAAGCAAAACAGGGTTTATGCCTTGCTATGCCACTGGCTTACTTTTATAATTGTGAGAAAGTCACTCAAACTCTTGAATCTTCAATCCCCGTCTGAAGAAGGGGATAAAAACCTCACCTTATGCATGTTGAGAGCATGAAATCCAGTACCAGGCATGAAATCCTAACCTGCGGCAAGGATGAAGCTGTAATCTAACGCTCAGACAGATCAAATAGTTTAGATAGGCTGCACTAGATAAACTACATTTTATAAGTTTAAATGGGATAAAATGCATCGCATTAGATTAGGCTGATAAATAGATTTAGGAGTAAGAGGGAGAGGACAGCCTTGAAAACATACTGAAAGACAAGATTTAATATTTCTACAGTGTAACTTGCTGATCAATTTAGTAAACCATTACACTAATTCAGATTCTTTATACGTACATTCAAACTTCAAAAAAAAAGTAACTCTCTGCAAGTGCCAGGACAGCTCCCTTGCAAGTGATAGGACTGACAACAAAGCATGAATAAACCTAGTCAATGCAGATGCCCTTTCCAATTAATCTCAGACATTTGCCAGTGTCATATTTCTCCTTGTAATCCCTCTGTGATTAATCATTTGCAGCAGAGATCACATTCCCATCTGGGTATTTCTGAGCACGCCGAAGGCAAAGTAATTTTACTTATGTCTTTATTCTTTCAAGTTTTCACTGGTTTATGTTTGGAGGAAAGAGGCACAAGGGCACAGACCTGTCAGGTAATGCAAATAAATCAAATCACTGTCCAGGAACCAACACACGGCCACGCGGCCAGTCAAGGCGTCCTACCCACTCCTGTCCTCACTGTTTTCGGTCTCTGCCCCACACCTGCTTCCCCATGGACAAGCGAGCAAGTCCCTTGCAGTGGGAACTACCACAGACTACTCCAG